TCTTCTCCCGACTTTGCTTGCAAGGGCTCTCACTAAGCCATACATGGGGGCCCATCTCATGACCTAATCCTTTGCCCAAGACCTGGCCTCAGCACTGTCACACTGTCACACTGGGGATTAGATTTCAGCGCCTGGATGCTGGGAGGATGCAAACATTCAGTTAGCTAGTCACTGGGTGGTTCAAGAGGCTGCATCCTTATATAACAGGAAGACAGTTGGGAACACCTTCGTGCCTTCTGAGCAGGACTTTGTGGTAATTAGGAGGAAGGATGTGGGATTTTTGAGTCCAGACATTTTGAACTTCAATAATGACCTTCATGCTTACTTTTTAGGAAACCTGGAACAAGAAGACATTTTGCCGTGTGTGTGTGTGTGTGTTTCAATATTTTCAAATGAGGAAAGGAATCCCAGCGTACCCTCAGATCTAGGGTGGTGATCAAATGAGAAAGAACTTCATGAAAAGTAACAAAAAATGGGCTATCAGCTAATGAGCACTTAATCTGAAATGATTAAGCATTTAAGTCCTACAGTGATTCTCTGAGATACAATAACAGTAGTGACATGGTACCATGAATGTCTGTCACCAAGACGACTCACACAGGACTTTGCTCTGGGCAAGGAGACAAACAGGAAGCTATGGATGGAACTGATCTGCTTTCCAAAACTAAGATGTTTCTGCTCTCAGGAGTGATAAAAAGCTTCCCCGGGCCCAGCCTACCTTGCTGAGAAGTCAAGACAGTAAAGCCAAGTGGCCCCAAACTTCTGCCCAATAAGATCAATCTGCATCCACCCAGCAGCTGCCTGCTGTGGCCTCACAAACACAGCTGCTCCTGACAGCCCACGGGCAGGCACTGTTCTGCCCGCCCCAGCCATTCCCTGTCAAGCCCTAGGGGAGAGGAGTCTGTGCTTTGCCCATCAGCTCACCTGCACATTTATCCCTGGTGTTGACTTTTCTTACACACACACCATCTAGACTGGCACCCTGCATTTCCATCCAAGGTGCCAGATCTCCTGGCTTTGCACACCCCAGCTCTGCGACTTTAGGGAAATGAATTAAACTCTGGGCCTCAATGTCCTCATCTGTAAAATGGAGATTTAAAAACAATGCCTACTGTATAAGATCACTGTGAAGAGCTAGGGTCTCACCCTTACAAAATGGTTAGAAGGGTGCCAAGCACTTGGAGAAGGATGGATAAACGCCTGCCTTTACGTGTATCTGCTGGGATCAGTGAGAAAGGACCAACTCCCGGCAGGATTCATAAGCTTCTGCTGCCCCCTGGTGGCAAGAATCAAGAGAGGTAGGGAGGCTTGTCTTCCCTACTCGTAATCAGAAAAACATGGGTTTGCAAATATTGCTTTAGTTCACAAAATGCTTTCATATCCGAGGTCTTGTATGAGTCCTCAAATAACCCTGCAAGGTAGTTAGGGATTATCTCCATTTCAAAGAGGAAGAAACTGAGACCTGAAGGAGACCCATCCATAGTAAAAACCCAAAGCTATGCTAGTATCTGACGGAGGGCTTGGCCCACAGGGTGCCACTATTGGGAGATGGTGGAACCTTCCGGAGGTGGGGCCTAGTGGAAGGCCCTCAGGTCATTAAGGAGGTGACTTTGAAGGGGATCATGGGACTTTGGTCTCTCCATCTCTCTGCTCGGTATGAGGTCACTGCTATCTGCTGACCCTCCCCATCTAGTCCAGCCTTGGACTTTGAACCTTTAAACTGTGAGCTAAATAATCCTCTCTCTTCATAAAGTTAGTTGTCTCCAGTATTTTGTTACAGTAACACAGCTAACTAAGATAGGCTGAGACTTCTGATTCCAAGCTATTTTGACTCTAATTTTCTGTCCCAACCATGCATCCAAGTCCTCTTGGGGACACCAGCTTAAATTACAGCATCTCGGCCACCATCACCCCAAACACCTAGGAGTTCTGGTGTCTTATCGAATCTGTATTTGGACAAACTCTCTGGGTGAGGCTGTGGAAACAGTTCCCAATGCTTGGACAGTTTTCTGGAACCCATGGTCTGTGTGACATGGACTCAGAGCCTGTGCCTGAGGGGCCTGACCTCTCCCTCCAACATTGATTTAGAGGAACGATTTGTTTCCATTCAGGGTTTCAGAGGTTGCAGTGCGTAGTCAGCTGACACCATTGCATCATTGTGGGCCTGAAGGAAGGCTGAGCATCAGGTGGCAGAAGTGTGTGTGGAGCAAAGCTACTTGCCTCATGGGGACAGGAAGCAGAGAGGAGCGTGCCTGTGCCAGAGGGCTTCCATCTTCTCCTGACCTTCCATCTGGGCAGGGCATGGTGACTTCCCTTAGTTAATCCTCTCTGAAAAGTGTGCTTTACTAATCTCCTAGGTGCCTCTCAATCCAATCCAGTTGACAATCAAGCTTAACTATCACACTCCTTTAAGTTGTTTTTCTCAGGTACTTTATCACAGTAACAAAAAGTGACAGTAACTATTGGTGACTAGTAAAAAACAAGGCTTGCGTTCTCTGTCAAGGCAACAGAGAAAGAGGAAGCCACTGTTCCTCTAGAGCAAAACTGACTCAGGCCCAGGGACAAAGTCCTTGGTGGCCAGTCTAAGGGTCGGAACACCCTATGTTCTACTCTCTACTGCACTCTTCCAAGACTTCAGCTGGGTCCAGGGCTCCACAGTAACAGCCAAATCAGCCCAAGGATGACAGGAAGACACAGAAGTAGCAAATTCAGTTAGATCCTGGCTTCAGTTCTTGCAGGGAAGCCAGGCCAAGGCCATCAACCGTCAGAAGGGCCCAGGATCCACGTGAGGGTCTTGCCAGAGCCATCAGAGGTAAGCAGCCCTGGCTGGTGGCTCACCGCTGCTTTCTTGTTTGCTACTCAATTACAAAGTGTCCCCTTGAAACCGGGTCTCTCCAGCTGGGACTTTCTTCTTGGGCTCATAAACCAGCAATGTGGACAGACCCTTAAGCTGATATCAGCCTTAACACCCTTGATGCTCCCTTTATGTTCTAAATAAAAAGTATATATAGCCCATTTGTTTACAATTTTTAATATAAGAGGAAATTAGGAAATGTTAGTTTTAAAAATCCACGGATTTCGATCTGTAACTGTTCAGGCGCAACCACAGGAGATGCCATGAGATCAGTTACACCCATTCACAGCGCACACCCGTGAATTAAAAATCAAAGAACAGAGCTGGGCACTCAGCACCGCATCAAGTAAATGCTCACGAGACTGCTCTGAATAATCCACACTCTACACTGACATTAGGGTGAGGGAAACCACTCTATCGTATGTGACCGAACACTGCTGGACAGCTAGCTTGCCTGGCCTCCACCTACCAGATGCTACCGGTATCACTTCTGACCGAACACCATCCCCCTCTCTTTGTACAATGGCACAAGGGAAGCACCCCCCTTGAGAATGGCGGAGATGGTCATGGGGAGCCAAGAGTGACAACTTCCCCTGTTGAACAGGAGCCAGGGTCTCCCAGGCTTCAGCTCAATGGAGCTCCAGCAAGATGAAGAGTTGGGACCTTCCTTGGAGACCCTCCTTCTTCCCCTGGCACCACCAGGCTCTGGCCCCAGAGACCACCTGCTGCCAATCCCCCGCCATCCCCACCTCCCATGCCCTTCAACTCAAGGGTATGGCTCGAGCTGCCCTTGGCCTTCTGCCCATGCTGAGCCCAGAGATTAGCTGGAGGCAGCCAGCAGGAGCCAAACTCTGGCCTCAGACCTCTTGTACCCTCCAGGTCTGTGTCACTTCTCTGCCCAGTTCCCTCGGGTTCTATGGACACTGGAGCCCCCCCCCCCCGCTACAATTCCAAGCCCTGTAGCTCTTGTTGATGAGCCTGGTCGCCACGCTGTCAGTTGGGATCCCCCAGCGTGTGGCTCAGCCAAACCCAGTGGAAGCAGCAACGTCCAAACAGAACACTGGAGAATCCAGGGTTGAAACCATGGCGGTGAGGGTGCAGGTGCTCATTTGCACAGCAATGTCCTTGATGGCTGGGAGGCGGTCTCACTGTCCACTAAGTCCTCCCAGCCAGGCCTCTTAGGGCCACACCCCTGGGATGGGGTTGGGTAGGGTTAGCGACTGCAGGTGTTCTAGATGACAGGCCAGATTGATGACTTCCCTTATTCAGTGGAAGCCAGGTACAGGTGTCCTGCTGGGCACAGCAACCCCCTCTCCAAAGCTAACCCAGCATTCTGTCTGCAGGTTAAGCATCCTCCACCTGGCCAGACTTGTTCCAACTGGGGGCACGCCTGCATGTGACCCGGCACACAGCACACTCGGCTCCCGTCCTGCTCAGAGGGTGATTTCTAAGGCCACCTGTGACCTCCCAAACCATGCCCTCTAAAGTCCCTTGCATGGACCCCGTTGGAGAACTAGGGCTCAAGAGAGATCACTACTCCATCTGTCTCAGATGGCATGTGTTCTGCAGTTTGGGAACAGATCTCCATTTCTTAAACTGGGGTGTGGGTGAGGGGTGCTGGCTGTCACAGTGGCCATGTCATGGGGGAAGCCCAGGGTCCAAGGAGAGCTGTCCAGCCAACAGCCCCCCATCACCACCAGATGGCTGAGTGAACCAGCCTTTCGATGACCACAGCCCCTACCCTTGGGCCAACACAGACTTACAACCTTCCAAGTGAAGCCCTGGACCTCAGAGTACAGCTAGACCATCCACCTGTGGCTTCAGGTACATCCCTGACCCACAGACCAACAGGTGACATTGAGCCACACACCCCACCAGGGTCTTAGCTTGGAGATCAAAGGCAGAGTCCCCACCCTTGAAATTATTTCTTTCGTCTGTTCTGGAGGAATGCGTGTAGTTGAATTCTGATAAGTTACGCACGGATTCCACTAGGTGAGCTCCACAAAGAGTTGTCATTGAAAGATGATTAGTGGATTGTTTTTGGAAGGACTTCCAGGGTTTGCATGGGACTGTCCAATGTAGTAAACTCAGCTTGTTGTCCCCTTTGGCAGACGTGAATGGCCACCTCTGGGGACAGCTGCACCTGTCAGATGATGGTGCAGCCGCAGCAGAACCGCTCGGGGTAGTCCACCACATGCACCTGGTGGTCAGTGCCATAGATGTAGTAGACGTAAGTCTTTCCTTGGTACCAGTAATGAACTTCTGTGAGAGGGATCAACTCGATGGTCTGGCGCTGGGAAAACAAATGGTCCAAAACACTTCAGCCTACTGGTCAAGTCACTCACTTGCTCAAGAATCTTCAGTAGCTCCCTACTGCCTGTAGGACAGAGTTCATGCCCTGGAGTTGGCATGAACTCTGGAGCTGGTTGCACAACTTTTCTCCAATCTTTCCTGTCTAGATGTATCTCCCATTGTGCTGCTTCTCATAGCCTAAGATCTGGGAAAAACCTGATTTTTCCTTAGCCATCATCCAATTCTAGGTGAGCACAGACTTGCCCCAGGGAATTCCAGGAAGCCACCAGCTGAATGTGACATCTTCCACAAAGACTCATTTTTAGACAAGGTGCTGGAGGAGGGTGGAGGATAAAATCATTTTAAATGTCTTCATATTAAAAACACTAGGGAGACATGATGGAGAGGTTTATAACTTTAGAATGAAAGACAAAACGTTGATACCAAAGAATCTTCCAAGGCTGGTGGGTTATGTCAGGCTACGTGTCAGACATCCCTCACCACAACCAGTTTTGTATCGACCTTGCCTTGGGAAAGTGTTTCTCAATATGAGGCCCCGTGGGCTCACAGAATTTCAGGTTTGGAAGATCATCCAGTGCAAGCCACACCTCCTCAGCTTGGGTGCCCTCCTGTAACACTCAGATCTCCTCCCAGCTCTTTATAAGCCCCCTAGAGGACGGGAACTCCCTCCCTCCTGCCCACAGCAGAGTCCCGAATCCTAAATCTTCCCCAGAGCCTTCTCTGAGCAGCTAGTCCACAGCCTGCCCAAATCACAAGGCTCTGAATGGAGCCTCAGCCCTGCCTCAGGGGAGAACTCAGGGCTCCCACGGAGGCCCCATCTCCGTCAGTTTCCCAGGCTCCTTTCTTACTGGCAACCACACCATACAGCTACTATGGAACATGCCTCCCCCAACTTACTGGGTGGCTGACCCAGTGCCTCTGGGCAAGCTGCCCCCATCCCACACTCAGATTTGTAGTTCGAAGCCCAGGGAGAGGTAAGTGTAATGGGCCCAAGGCCAGACTCTATCCACTTGCAGCAAATTCTTCCCATTGGGAAAACCAGAACTGCTGTGCAGATGACAGAGGAGGAGGAAAGGAGGAAAAGGCAGAAGGGGATCAAGCTGAAGACTTCTGGCTGCTGGCACTTCTCTCCTCCACAGAAAACCTGGGGATCCTGAGGAGAGCAAGGCAGGGAGGGGCTGAAAGGACACCCGCCACACTCTGTTGGAGGAGAGGCCGGGGCAGCATGACATCACCCAGGGACAGAGCAATTTCCGTTCAGCGTCCCTGTGCCATCTTGCACATCTGCGCCTCAGTTTCCTCATCTGTGAAATGGGGATAAAAAGTGTTTCACAGAATCATAGGAAGACTGAGCTTTCTTCAGAAGCCGGTCATAATCTGTACAACCCAATTATACAAAAGATGATTTGGACATCAAAGGCAGAATATTCCTCTTGAGTTGTCCATGTCAACAGCCACATGTGAGAACTAAGGGACATGAGGAGATGGGAGTCAATGTCACTGCTCAGAAGGCCTGGACCTTCTGGGGTCAGGACCACTCTGGCCTTTTCTACTATGATGGAATGGATTGCAGAGTGACACGACCTAACCTTCAACTGCCACGGGCTCACAAACCGCTGGAGACCTCAGCCGCCCTGGAGCGCTTATCTTGTAGCTGACCACATGTTTGCAGCCTGGCGGTGCCCTGAGGGGAGAACACTCAGTCTGGAAGCTGCAGCAGAGATGGGTGCATTGTGGTGGCCGCTATCTCTCACTACCACGTGCAGCCCGAACCAAGGGTGGGCACGAATCTTTGTCTTCAGGACCACGGGGCGACTTAGAAAAAGATTCACAGACATACCTCTTACACCATTAAGTTCCCTTTCAAAGAAGTTCCCCAGCTGCCAAATGAAGAGTCCCCAACGGACTCAAATCGTCCGCCTCACAAGCATAACTGTCCCCAGATGGGCACTGGTGTGTGCGAGTTGTGGAAGTCATTCCCCGCTCCTGGGTGTTTCTGAACCTCCCTCCTGTTTCCAGAAAGATGCCTCAATATTTGGGGCTCTTCAATGTAACCCAACTGACAGCACACCAGGGCTGCAAGAGCCAGCTTCCTGGGGACAATCAGTGGGTTGTCCCCGCCCTGCCTCCCACTGCCTTCTGCGTGCACCCTGGGTTCTAGCGTCTCCCGGAAGACCAGAAGCGGGGACAGGAGATTTGCCTCCTCTTCCCTCCCCACCCTCCAGGGCAGACAGTGCCTGGAAGTGACACCCAGAGGCTGCATGGGCAAAAAAACAGGAAATCCAGCTCTCTGGCCTCCAGGTGAATGGTGGCGAAGGTGTGATTGAAACGCAGAGCCACTGTGGGACCACAGGCTGCCATGTCACCTGCACTGGGATCTTTGTTATAGCTTCTCCAGCTTCCTGGTCCCACACTCCTCCAAGAAGCCCTTCCTCAATACATGACTTGCACACAGGACATTCTCAAGGGCCATTACTGTGGAGCCCAGCCTAAGACAAGCGCCAGTCCCCTGCCCTCATTTTATAGACAGGGACCCTGAGGCCCACAAAAGGGAAGGAGCTCAAAACCTCAGCCGTGTGGCAGGGCAGAAAGCAGGTGCTACCTGGATTAAACCCAGGGAAGTCATTAGACGATACAGTGTTCTTAGTCTTTTTAGAATTTAGTTGTCCATCTTGAAAACTTGGAAACTTGCAGGTAAAAAACTGAATGTCAGAAAGTCTGAACACAACAGGCCCTGTGCTGACACAAAGCCGGGTAGCAGCAGCCCCTTTGGAGGCCCCACGAGACTGCATGGCCATGGTAGGCATTGGCACAACTGCTATGGCCCCTTCCAAGTCCCAGGGGACCCTTATTGACTTAATACACACATCCTTCTCTCTCCTACAGAGGAGAGATGAGTGAGGACCGGGAAAAAATAGTGACGTTTTGAGTACCACGTCCCAAGCAGGGCAAAGCCCTCTGCAGAGACATGCAGGAGTCCCAGGCTCTGAGCCCAGTCTAAAAGCTCCAGGCCCCAGCCACCAAGTCCCACTCACAGAGTTCAGGGCAGGGCGTTCCCTGGCCAAATCCCACACTGAGACTCTGGCCCACTGCATAGTGCAGATTTAGGGCAGCACCTGGAGAAATGATGGGTGCCACTGCCACCTAGTGGCCATCAGAATAAACCACCCAAACCTGGAGGCTGGGAGGAGACAAGGCTGGGAATTTGGGGAGCACCCTGGCCCATGGCAGGATGCTGGGTTTGAGGCTATCCTCTGACCCGAATCTCAAACTTTCCTTTGTCCTATCTGAATACCACGGAATTAAAATCAAAATCACACTAGGCCTCATTCATGCTGGAAACTCTGCAATAGCTCTCCGCCTCTGAGAATGAAAGCACAGTCCTCTCTGGGTGGCACATGGTCCCGCTGCCTCTGTGACCTCCTGTGACTGGGCTCTCTGCCTGTGGCCACACTAGCTCAGCCTGGCATCTCCTGCACACCTCACACTACCCCTCGTCAGGATTGAATCTCCCTTCCTCAGCCTCAAATTGATATTCTCAGGAAGAGCCCCAGGTAGAGAAACAGCCTCAGTTTCCCCCTTCTGATGACCAGAGGAAGCACCGCCAGCCTGATCCCAAGGGGCTCACCCCCAATCAACAGCCCAGGCCCAATCCAGGAAGGGTCAGCAGCCCCAAGGCGAAGTCAGAGCCAGGTGGCCCCAGTCCTGGCCCTTACCCAGCTCACCTGCTGCAGAATGCGGGCGCGTGAGGCCAGGTTAGCACTGTGCTCTGCAATGCCCCTCTGGGAGGCCAGGGAGATGTCCCGTAGAGGGAAGTCGACAATGGGGTACACCTGGGGAGAGAGACACAGGCCACCTCACCTTCAGACTCAGAGACGGGAGGAGAGGAGAGGAGAGGGGAGGAGAGGAGAGGGGAGGAGAGGAGAGGGGAGGGGAGGAGAGGAGAGGAGAGGAGAGGGGAGGGGAGGAGAGGGGAGGGGAGGAGAGGGGAGGAGAGGGGAGGGCCCAAGCTGGAGGGACTACCCACCTCTCAGGCCTAGGAATCCAACACAGAGGGGGTGCAGTCATCAGGAAGAGCACCCTTTCACCTGAGCCCATGTCCCCCATAAACCTTGCAGGGGCCTACAGGGCGCTGGGCATGGCGTTGAGTGCCAGGACCCAGCAATGCCCAGGGCACTCCTGTGAGAAAGCAGTTTTTCTATCAAAGTGTGTGTCGCCATTTTAACTACCTGCATTGTCTGTAGTTCTGGGTTCTTCTTCCGGATTCTTGCAACACCCCTTTGCCCACAAAAATTGCCCGCCATGCTGTGTATCTTCACCCCTGCCCCTGAGTTAGTATAGAATTTCAGCCAATCAGGAAGACTGTGAACTTCTGATCTGGACCAGTCCAGGTCAAGAGTCAGGGTCAGTCGTGTCAGGAACATAAGGAGGGACAGACTGCCTGCCCCTTCGTGCATGCTGTGCCCGTGTGCCTGTGCGCCCTTCTGCAGAAGTACATTTTGCAAGACAATTCTGTTTCTGCATCTTCAGTTGTGACCCCCCGTGGTCTTTGGGGGTCTTATTTCTAACACTGTGGCTAAAACCTGTAATCCCAGCTACTCAGGAGGCAGAGATCAGGAGGATCGCAATTCGAAGCCAAGGGGGCAAATAGTTCATGAGACCCTATCTCAAAAATACCCAACACAAACGAAAGGCTGGTGGAGTGGCTTAAGTGGTATACCTGAGGTGCTGAGTTCAAACTCAAGTGCCATCCCCACTCCCCCAAAAAAATGCAGGCAATGGACCTGGTCTGCTGATCTCTGGACTGGAAGATCCTCTGTAGTCTGAACTGCTGGCCCCTGTCTTGCCTGAGCTCCTCGCCCTGCCTGGCTCACTTCCTCTACCATGGTGCCTCAACCCCGCTGCCCCTTACTCAGGGAACACATGGTCCACTCCACCACTGCACTGGTTGCAGTTTTCCACCCGTCACTTCCACAGAGAGGCCTTCCTGTCCCCAGCTGAAACAGCAGTCCCTCTTCTTCTCCCCCACCAGTCGGGAAGAAGCATGAGGGCAAGGTTGTTTTGCAGTATCCCCAGGGTCCAGACCAGTGCCTGGCATGTGAGCACAAAGCTTTCCAAGCTTGTGGAGGGAGCGAGAGTAAGAGGGAGGTCAGAGGGGGCAGATTGAAATCCAGGAGGACCTGGCAGCCCCACGGGCCCCAGCTGCCAAGCTCTGTCCCCACCTGCTTCCAAAAGGATGCACTTCACAGCCCAGGGCAGGAGGAGGAGCTGACTTCCCATCCCCCTCTCCCTCCCCCTCCCCCTCCCCCTGGACCCCATCCTCACCACCGCGTTTTCATCCCTGAAGACATTTTCTCCTTTGGCCTTGGCAAGCAGCTCCGAGGGGCAGTGAAGCTGGCGCCCAGACACAAACTCGAACAGGCTGTTCTTCCTGGAAAGAGAGCTGGGGGCAGCCTGGGATCCCATGCACCTGGACTTGAAGGCGCACGTGGTGCGTGGTGGGAGCCGGAGTGGGGGGTGGGGAGGCCCAGCCCCCTCTGAGCACAGCTCCTGCACCTGCAGAACCAGCAGCCAGTGAAAGAGACTGGCCACTGGGCTCTGGCTGACTTGGGGATGTGGGAGGTCACAGTGACTGTATCCAGACAGATGTTGGGAATGCTGGGAGACTGCCACTCTTGCAGGTGGCGATGGGAGAACTGCCCAACAGCCTCTCCACTGGGACTCTTCCCCTTCTGAGTCCTGCAGCTCCCTGCATAGCAGCCCATCCAGCCACTGCCCCCATGCCCCAACACCGAGGCTCTGCCACCTACCACGTGATGACCAGCAGGACGAAGTGCTCCAGCTTCCTCTCCCCCTTGCAGGTGGCACATGTCTTGTTCCCCCTCCCTGAGCACGTGCTACACCTAAGGGCCAGTGAGCACCAATCAGATCAGTTCAGGGTCCTGGTGGCTTCCAGGGGACCGCCCCCAAATCCTTCCTCACAGAGACTCATTAGGGTAGTCATTCATTGTGCTTTCCTGTCCACCACCTACTCCTTCTTCCTGTGGTAGCAGGGGACAACCTGTCCCTTTAAGAACAGCTTTCCCCCCACTCAGGCCTCCCACGCTCTGTGGCCATCTTGGCATCTCAGCCTGGCCAATCATCTTATTCCATCTCCCTGGCCATGAGAGCCAGTGCAAAGCTCAGCTCAGGATGCTTGTGGGAACCATGAGGAATGGAGCCCCTTTTCCCACTGGGCAACTAAGCCCAGAGCCTAGTGATCCCATTCCCCACTCAGCCTGGGACACTTACACACCTGAACCCAACTGTGCCTAAAGACAGCTTGAAAATATACCCCTGGATTTTTACTGCTACTTGGGCTATAAACTTGCCAAAGCCAATTTGAACTTGGTTCTTTTCTCTTGCAAATGGTTTCTTTCCAAACCAAAGACCCTCTTTATCAAACTTGGGGAAAGGAACACCAAAGATTGGCCATTGGCCGTCCAGCTTGCCAGAGGACTGCCTGAGGAGCCAAAAGTGTCATTCACAGACCCAACTTAGAGCATTTTTACTCCTCATGGTTTTCCGTTTCACTTTAAAGATTTATAAAGACATTACAGGACACAATTTACAAAATGCAAGCAATCTGTTTCCAAAGGCCCCTTGAGCAAAGATGGCATGTTGATTAGTCAATCAACTCTCTTTGACTCTTCCCCAGGTCAGGCCCTACTATGAGTTATAAATCAGGGTCTGCCCAGAACCTGATGCTCAGCGCTAGGAATCATCCTTTGGGTAGTTCTGGGGAACCACTTCCCCATGGGGCAAGAAGAGGGCTCCTGTCCTCAGCCCCCTCTCCACTCCTCTCCTCCCTGCAGAGCTTCCTCCCTCACACTGCTTGATGACTTCCCCTTTGGGTATGGAAATGGCACACTCATCCACTCTACTGGGTCACAGAGCACCTTCTATGCACGGAGCTCTGGGGACGCAGCAGTGAGACACAGACAGGGGCCCACTCCTCTTTCAGACGAGCAGACAGTGAAAGGCAAGGAGGCCAAAAAGCAAGAGCACCCACCTGCCTGCTAGGACCCCCGCTCCTACCTGCGCCTGCCAGAGCCCGAGCACATGTGACACCGCCGGGGCTGCCTGGCTTTGCGCTTGGCTCCGCTGCACGATGGACACCGCACCTGTGGACACACTGAAGCTTCAGCCCCCAGTTCCTAGGAAGCAGGGCCAAGGGCATGCCGACCAGGTTCCAATCTCAGCCCAGTGGCCCTGGCCCAGGTCACCTCCTCCCCGGGGCCACAGCTCCTCCAATTGTAATGTGGGAGGATTGGAGCCCTTTCAGCTGTCACCTTCCAAGACACTACATCCTAACATCCCTGTTCCTCCTGAGACAGTCACCCACCTCCTCTCTGATCCCCAAAGCCCCTGAGACCCTCCCCCAACCAAAAACTGGGAGACAAGAGTCGGGGACAGTGTCCTTTTTGGAAGAGCTCCAGCAGTGGCCCAGGCTTTGCTCAGGATGGGCTAAGACACTCCAGAAAAAGCCCAGGGAAGAGGGGGAAAGAAAGAGCACAGGAGAGTCACAAGGAGGTGATGGCAGGAGTGAGCACAGAGCGAGACACCGAGCACAGCCAGTGGGCCCCACAGACAGAGTGTGGGCAGCCAGAGGGATGAAGGGAGAGGTGGTCTAGGACAGCAGGTGGTCAGTGTGGTCCATTCAGCTCAAACTGGGAGAGCTAGGGGCACGTGAGGTTCTTAACCATCACTCCTAGGATGGCTAACAGCCTGAAGGTTTCTGAAAAGACTGAGGCCTCGGGTCTTGCTCTCTACTTAGGAGCCTATACTAGGCTGGATTCAAATTCTCCCAAATACAAGCCTCCTGGAACCTGAGAGCATGGCCTTGTGGGAAGTGTTCCTTGCAGATGCACTTAGTTAAGAAGGGGGTCTCATGACCTCACATAGATTAATGGGGCCCAGGTCCAATGACAAAAGACATAGCCAGGAAGGGCAGAGGTTGGAGCCAAGGAACACCAGCAGCAGCCAGTGACTGAGAGGCCTGGACGCTCCTCGGAGCCTCCAGAAGAACTGGTCCACCATGCCCTCACCTTGCACGTGGCCCTTCTAGCTGCCAGAACCCCAAGAGGACAGATTTCTGTGTTTTGAAGCCCCGATATGTGACAGGTGTTACAGCTTCCCTGAGAAACTGCCAGAAGGCCCCATCTACCCAAGCTTCGAACTTCACCTCAGCCTGGCCTACAAATACTGCTGGCTTCTCGGCCCCCCGCCGAGTGGGGACGGACCCCAGGTCTTAGCTCTCTTAGAGGGCCTAGTGCTCAGCAAGTACCCAGTGTTGGCAGGAGGATGAAAAGAGGGGGGGAAAGTTCAAACTACACTGCCGAAGGGGAGGGCACTGGAGACGCCCAATCTGTCACTTTTTATATGGAAGATGCAGGCCCACAGAGGGAGGGTGACTTGCCCAAGAGAACACTGTTAGCACAGGAGCCCCAGGCCAGGGCCAGCCCTCCATCCCTGTGTCCACCCCCCACCCCCAGTCATCAGGAGCCCACGCTTGACTCACCATGCCTGCCCCATGGCAGCCGCTGCACTTGTAACGTCCACGCCCGTGGCATTTGTGGCATTCCTGAAAGACAAGCACTCTCCTTGGATCTAGTGCCTCAAGCATCCCACCCCACCCCCACGATGTCACCTCTCAAACAGAAGAGCCAGTGCAGGGCAGGAGAGGAGACAGTGGGAGGGGGGAAGACCCTTTCGTATGACCAGAACCCAAAGGCCCGGTGTGCCAAGCTAAGGAGCTGTGGTAGCCCTTCTTCCACCCCCAGCTCAGCTGCCCGGGTGCAAAGATGTGGTCACCAGAACAGAGGCCACACAAAATGCACAACCTCCCTGTGAAAGGCAAGAGCTAGCTTCTAGAATTCAATCACGGGATGCCATCAGCTTTTCCACCCTCAAGAAAAGAAAGGAATGGAAGTCTGTCCTGACCTCTCAAGTCTTCTGCATCTCCTAGCTATAAAACTTAGAGCACAATGTCACATTCCTGAGTCAAATCCTAACATGACAACAGTATTTCCTGTCACCACCGCATTTCTATCCAAGGTGGCCTTCCAATTCTGCTTCCCTACTGACTTCTGAGGAAAATCCCAAGGAGGCGCTCACTTTTTATTTGATGTCATTTCTTTTAGTCCTGCAGGTCTTTACTGCCAGGCCAGGGCAAAGAAAAGATTTAAAAAAAATTTACTCCGATAGTCTAACAACACTACTGCTGACTATTTAAAGCTGGTGACAATTTGGTTTGATCATTTACTTAAAAGGACAGTCCTTTAGCTACACAAATGTTCCCTCCCTGATTTGCATGGAATTTTGAAAAAAATGATTTTTTATTTTTTTGGATGGGACTGGGATTTGAACTCAGAACTTTGGACTTGCAAAGCAAGTGCTCTGCCACTTGAGCCACACTTCGGTCCATTTTGCTCTGGTTATTTTGAAGATGGGGTCTCATGAACTATTTGCCTGGGCTGGCCTTGAACCATGATCCTCCTGATCTCAACCGTCCAAGGAGCTAGGGTTACAAGCACTCTTAACATGGCCAGTTTTACCCTAGGAAGGAACTGCTAGGCTAGATTTGGGTTTCTTTGGGGAAAGGATGAGGTCTGAAGCAGCAGGCAGTGCCTGGGAAAGGGCTCAGAGACAAGGACTGACATTCTGATCACCTCCTCACCTTGACCAACGAGGAGTGAGGCACTTGGAACTTCCTGGTGTCTTCCTGAAACATCGGAGGGACCTGGACCTTGATATCCCAAAGCCTGGGGGAGGTTCCTCGTTGAGGTCCGTTTACCAAGTGGTCTGACACGGAAAAAGGCATGGTGAGAACAGCAAAGGTCTGTGGGAACTAACTTATTCACTTAGGAAACAGCACCATTAACTCATTCACTCAGCAAACAGCACCATGCCTTCACTTGGTGCTGTGTATTAGGCTACATCCTGGGTCCTCAGAAATGGGGACGCCAGAGTTCCCTGGGAGTCTGTGGTTAAGTGCCCAGCTTTACAGTCAGACAGACCTGGGTGTGACTCCTGGCTCTTCTACTTCCTAGGAATGTGACTCTGGGAAAGTTACTTAACCTCTCTGAGCATCAGTTCTCTCATTTCCAGAATGGGGACAACAGCAGCGTCTACCATTATATGAAGGAATAAAAAAAATAAGAACTAGTATCACAGCCATCCCTTTCACTTTACCACCATCTTCTCCACAGCCAGCAGTCACAATACAAGTGTGCAAAAAGAGCTCTGAAAACCCAGGAGGCTGATCAGTCCTGATAACGAAGGGAGGGGGTACCAGGAAAAGAAATCTTGAAAGGCTTCCTGGTGAAGGTGACACTTGAAGAATGGCTTGGAGAGGTCGAGCAGAGAAAACAGGCAGAACACAGGGATTCCCAGGGAGACAACCAGAAGCCCCTGGTGGGTTCAGGGGAAGGCAGAATGGTACAGCAAGTGTGGACCTGGGGGTCTAGAGATTTCAGGGCTGCTGGGGGGCAGACACAGGCAGTCCAGGCCCACCCACATCCTGTCTCTGCAGTCTGGTCCCAGGTAGCAGGAGCAGCTGGTGGCCAAAGGCAAACACTGGACATTTTTAGGCCTCTTGGGAACCACTTCCCGGGGCCAGGAGCACCTGCCGGGCCAGCACTGGACTGGCTCTGAGATGAAAGCCCACCCTCATGTGACAGGGGTGAGGAGCCCCCGCTGGCCTCATTGCTCCACCCAACCGCGACCCACAGCTCACTCACTAGTGAAGGGCTGGAACGTCCACTCGCTTTCTCTGGATTCGCTGAACGTCTCCAGCCGGTACTACAGAGAAAAACCACACGTCCACGTCCACGTCCACACCACCTACAGGGAGGCCAGCCGGCCCAGGATGCCTCCCCCGACGGCCCACAATTCCAGTTCCCCATGAGTTCCAGGCCAGTTCTGAAGCAGTGGCCGTCCTTCAATAGATGGGGCCCACTATTCTGAAGGTCCACTTTAGGACAGAGGTATCTGTCTGATGTCAAGTGCCTCCTACTTATGTTTCCCACATAGCTGGGATTACAGAATGCACCACCACACCAAGCTTATTTGTTGAGATGTAGTCTTGCTAACCTTTTTCCCCAGTTGGCTTTGAACCTCCATCTTCCTGGTCTCTACGTCCTGAATAGTTGGGATCACAGATGTGAACCCCTGCACCCAACTGGAATGGCTTTTCATTTCACATTTTCTAGTATCATTGCTACAATTATCCTCTGATGAGTTATGGAGAAATCAGACACAGGCAGTGGCTAGCTTAGGCGTGTGGAGACCCCAGGCAAAAACTCGAGACTTTATCCAAAAATGAACTAAAGCAAAAAGGGATGGGGGTGCAACTCAAGTGGTTCTGTGCTTGCTCAGTAACACAGGCCCTGAATTCAAATCCCAGTACTGCAAAAACAAACAACAACAACAACAAACCTGTCCCCATGCCCTGTCAAAGCAGGGCACGACAGAAGTGCTTGTTATGGTTCAGGTGTCACACGTGGAATTTTCTGGAGTGACAAATAAATGAGTCTCTGGCACAGAAGTGGCTTGGGGAGGCAGAGGAGCTGGGTGTGCAGCAAGGCTCAGGCTTCAGGACCAGCAAACCTGACGCTGAGACCTGCACCTGCCTCTCCAGACTTCTAAGGCCACCACTGTAGCTAGGTGGGTTTGACAAGGCATGGCTGGCCCCTGCTTTTAGATGCCTGGCACGTGTGACATGTCAGTGGTGACCCATAGTGCTTATTCTTTGTACTCCTCATAGCTACAGACCAGCAAGGTCACAGGAGGGATTCCACATCGCCACCATTCACACACATTATCCCCAGGACTCCTTGGCCCTGACTCACATCACACAAATGCCTGTCTCTGTCCCCATGTCCCCAGGCCCCCCAGCACAGCCCCCTTACCCTGCAGAGGGTCTGCTGCCTCAGTTCCCGGATGACCAGGTTGCCTGCAGCACCACTGCGGTAGCAGCATTTGGAGTTCACGAAGCTGAGGAGAGCCTCCCGGGCCACCTCCTCTGTCACCACGGGAACTCTGCTGGGGACCGAGCAGCGAAGAGAGAAAAACCACATTAGAGAAGTGTGGGCTTAGGAGAGGAGCTGGTAGAACTTGGACCTAGAGAAAAGGGAAGAGGAGGGGAGGAGAGAGAAGAAAGGAAGGGAGGGAGGAAGAAAGGAAGTAGATATGTTAGTGTTCCATTACAGTGACAAATCCCCAGGCTCACAGTTGCAGAGGATCAGACCCTGGTCACTTGGCTCGATGGCCTCTGGGCACGTGCTAGAGGAACACACGAGACAGAACCCAAGGAAGGAGCCTGGGACAAGGTGTATGCAGCCAGGACAATGCTGGAAGACCCGCTTCCTCCAACCAGGAGACCCCTCCTCCTTGTTCCCAGCATCTCCCAAACATCTCTTCAGCTGCGAATCCATCACTGAGTGAATCACTGAGTGAATCCATCACTGAGTGAATCACTGAGTGAATCCATCACTGAGTGAATCACTGAGTGAATCCATCACTTAGTTCAGTGACTTCACATCCCAATCACGTTCCTGCAGCCCACCAGCTGGCAACCAAGACTTTGAGGCCATTGTATAGCCAAACCATCACAGATGAACTATGCCACTCTTACAGATGAGGAATGCTGCGGTGCAGAGGGGCAGTCACACCATTAGAGCTGGGTTAAGGGAAATTCTTGCCCTCGGAGATCTTGACCTTGACCAGAGAAGCTGTGAGCCACAGGCATAGGAAACCACCACTGAGAGCCAAGAGGCCACGGCCTGACATCGGTGGGCTCCCAGGCTGCAGAGGGATGGCAGATGGGCCTTGCGCAGCCATGTCTGTGGACGCCTCACCCCTCCTCTGGAAAACCCTTCTGAGACCACACTGCCTCTTCACTGAAGCCCCTTCCGCCACCCCTCACTCCTTTCCCTCAGGGCCATTCACTGCCCCTCATACAGCCTGGTGTCCCTGGCGTCACCAGGCCCAGTGCGGCCTTAATTGGTGGCAGGAGAGACAGGATGGCCAGAAAGCTCTGTGGTGTGTGGTTTGCAATGGGCCTGGAAGGTTGGCAGCCAGAAGAGAGCAAATCTGGGACCAGGACACGCAGGAGCCTTATCTCTGTCTCTGAGCCACACTGTCCAGCTGAGAAGTGGGTGCAGACATAGGGCTGCAGAACCTTCATCTGCAAAGGTTGGCCAGAAACCCTGAGCTCTACTCCAAGTCTTCACAGCACAAAGAGGGCCTCGGCCTCTCTAGGGATCAAGACCAGGGCTCAGCAAACCTCCTCCGTAAAGGGCCAGAGAGTAAATGTTTCAGCTTTCGCAGGCCAGTCTGTGTCAACTACTAACCTCTGATGTAGGGCAAAGGCTGCCGTGGCATCAATGTGAACAAGTAGGACTGTATCCAATAAAACTTTACTCAAAAACTAGGTGGCAGACTGAGTTAACCCACGGGCTGGAGTTTGCAAAGCCCTGATATAGACAGTGGTTTTTAATTCTAGCCTTGCAGCACACACTGCTTGGTACACTACAGATTCCAGGCCCTGTCCCTGGAGAATCTGGTTCAGTGGGTCTGAGATGGGGGTGGGAGGGGCGTCCCCACAGGGTCTGACCCAAGGGGTCCTGATGCACCATCAGGGTCGAGACGTTCATGAAGGGCTCCTGCAGGGCAACCATAGTATCTGGAAATGCACAACCTGAAACTCACCTGTGTTCCAGGAACGAGGACCAGCATGTTGGTGCCAGGGGCCTCCCCAGGGCCTCCGAAGGTGGGGAGAATATCTGCCATGCTGAAGGAGAGGGAAAAAATGAGGCAGGAGCTGTGCAGCAAGGATAGATGTTTGTGGAGTGAAAGAAGGCAAGACTGGCTATGCAGAATGAATGGAGATTCTAAGAGCAGTGTCACTGGGGTCCCAGACCAACTTTGTGATCGTCATTGGATGTTTATAGACACAGGGCTCTGCCCTATCTCCTCCCCAGCTCACCTTCCAGGGCACCCCACCCCCTGGGGAAGAGGGGAGCTATGTCAGCTGCAGTCTGTCCTGGAGACACCCCCAATGACCACAAATGCAGAGGAACCACGACCCCCTGACTTACTGCCCCTCTGAAGAAGCCAGTTACAGCTGGGCAGTCCTTCCAGGAGTTCAGCAGGGGGTGCCAGAGGACGCTCGGCCTGGAAGCTGAGGTCCACCACACCTGCGGAAAGAGGCAGTCCTGAGCAGGGGTGGGGAGGGGTTGTGGGAAATGCATTAGTTATTTAGCTGCCAGGGATCCAGGGATCAGCAACCATTTTCTGGAAAGAGCCAGGTAGGAGACATTTAGACTTTGGGGATGTTATAATCCCTGTCTTGCTTCCTCAGTGTGGCCATTGTGGCATGAAACCAACCACAGAAAATACACAGTTGAGTAAGTGTAGCTTTGTTTCCATACCATGTTGTCTGTTAAAAACACAGTATTGGGTTGGATTTGTCCCGTGAGCTATGTCTGTCCACCCTGACTTAGACCCGTAGATGCCCACCTGTGGGGAAGGGCTTGAGAGGGTCTGGAAGGTGAGGGCCAGCTCCCATGAGCCCAGTTATCAGAACTTAAAGAGCAACATCAGGGCTGACTATGACCAAGAAGGCTGGAGCCAGGCTCCCAGGGGCACAGTGTCAGGAACATAGACTCTGACACGTAACTCCAGGCCTGGGCTCTCTGTCTTGTAAGACAGGACATCACACACATCCCCACAGAACCCAACTCCCCAGGGTGAAATGGAGCGAGAGGTTGGTGTCATGTAGCAGGGCAAGGTGTGCCAGGCTCCAGTCCCGTGCCCACCCTGTAATAAATGCTTGGTCAGTGCCTCGGACTGAGGAGGGTGAGGCTTCCTCTTTGTTTTTCTTTATACCAGGAGACAACAATGAAAATGTCAACCATAGAAAGGTCATCCGTGTCCCCTGGGATGCCCCAGCCCACTGGGCAACCTCGGGTCTGCACAGACATCCACGCCCCCTTGACAGGAAGACAGGGAAGGGCCATGTGGCTTCGATGTCCTGCTGGAACCCAAACAAAGGCACAGGAAGAGGGGAAGAATGAGTGGTGGGAAACTCAAGAGCTCCATCCACCAACCCGGAGCCACCCTGACCTCTGGGGCAGGCGCAATTCACCAGGGCTAAATTAATCTTGCCATTATGCCATGTACAAAAATAAAGGGCCCCGGGCTGACCCTCGGGAGAAGTGACACTTCCTGTGCTGAAATCAGCAGGCAAAACAGGAATGTGGACGTCACCAGGCATTGTGCAACCCACAGAAAGGGGTCCTCAGACGGGGAGTCCAGACATGTACTGCCCTAGAGGTGGGGACAAGTTTTGAAGCAGCTGTCCAGCTGGGCTAATACCCTACCTTATTGCACATGTCACAGCCTGAGGCTCTCCAGGAATATACAGGCATGGCCTCTTTTAGACTTTATGGTCACCGTTGTCCCCATTTCAGAGAAGAGCAAAATGAATCTGTGACATGTGACCTGGGGTAACCGGCTCACATAGAGCAGAGCAGACAGAGAAGTAGAGCTAGGAGGTCAGAGCCTCACACCAAGCCAGGGACCTTTCTCCTTGTCTCTAAGACCCCAACAGTGTCACATGCTTGCTGAGAAATCCTTGCCAACAGTCAACAAGGTGGCATTTCCACTCACCAACCACGAGTTGCTTTTATTTGGTCTAAGAGGGATTTTTTCTTGTGGGGAAAGACAAGAGTGGACTCTCTGTGTTTTCAGTGGGGTTCCTTGACCTGCCACCTCCCAGCAACACAGCAGCCTCAGGAGAGGCTGGGTGGTTCCAAGCCCAGGCTGGCCCAGTGGTTCCTGGTGGCCGTGCCTCCTTCCTCAGGGTGTGTGCACACGCTGGGGCTCACCCCTGTCAGTCACCAGGGCTCCTGGCAGCTGGTCCCTGCCCCAAAGTCCAGCACCCTTTCCCAGTGCCTGGGGAGGGAACTCTGTGGGGCGAATGGGCAGCAGTCACCCACCTAAAAAAAAGCTCACATAAAGTCCTGCACCTTTCCCACACCTGGTGGAGAATGATTCTGTTTCATCCACTTGGGTCCTAAGTGCTTTTCTGGATGACCCCACCCCTCCCAGTGGCCATCTGAGTCCCTTTATATCTGAAACCAGCCCGAAGGGCAGCTCAATGTCATAACCAGGTTTCTTAGAGTTCAAGGGACCTAAAGTAGTCACCCTACTGTCACCTGGCTCACCAAAAGGCATGAGGCTAAACAAACCTCCCAGGGCTTAGACTTTGCACTAAGACAGTTTAGCTTATTTTTAAGGCTCTGACCATTTCCTAGAGTCTGTCTCTCTGCATGGGGGATGTGTAGCATTTTGTATCCAATTAATCCGTGGCCACTTCTGCAAAATGACACCATTCCTGTTTTTATTAGGAAAAATAAAGTTCAGAGAGGTGAAGTGACCAGAGCCAAGACAGCCAGCAGTTAGGAGGCAGAGTGGGTGTGAATCGAGATCTGACTTAGTCCACTGCTACAGGAAACTCCAGTGATCACTGAGGGACAGCTAATGAATGAGAGCTCAAAGGGAAGGTCAATTAGGACATTAGTAGGTTTTTAGAATGAGACTGTGGACGCACAGCACCCTGCACAGCAGACATGAGGTCCCATCCTCCTCACTCCACGTCCTTAAAAATATTTCCACAGCCGCCTCCAACATGACAACGGAAGTCATCAAAACTTAAAAGAGTTCTCAGATCAGCATAGAGTCATTTTACATCCCACTTCACGTCTAAAACTTGGAGCTTCAAGATGGCAACATTAAAGGGTGTTGGACCAGCAACAGACACTCAGGGTTCTCAGGTCCAGAGACCATAAAGATGCCTTAGCGTCACAGATCTGTGCAGGGGCAGATGCAGCCTGTGGCCCCTCTCCAAACCCCCAAAAAGGCATTCACATGGCATTTTGACCCCGCTCTGATGGTCCTCAAATTGAGAATTCTGAGGAATTGGAGGCTCAGAGAAGTTAAGTGACTTTCCCAAGATCACAGAGCCCAGACTTAAGCCTCCAAACACCTACCTGATGCTCTTCCCATCTCACCACATTGCCCCTTCCCAACTCAGGATCAAAATTCTCCCTCTTAATAAAGCACATTTCCTCCCTGATAATGACAGGCTGGGGTCACCAGCTGCATTTCACCTGCAAGTGTAACGAGCGGGCATGCCAAGAGGAGGACAGTGCTGGAGACTGCACAGCCTCTGCGTAACCTCAACCTCATCTGAAAATGTGACTGAAAGAAAAACCCTAAGATTCACACTCCCATCCGGCTGGGATGAGGGACTGTCACCTGGGGAAAGAAACACATGGTTGCACAGGGTCACTGTGGTCGGGGAGAAGGGCTCAAGGTGGTTTTTGCCTTTCTGCTCCATCGTCCAGAGGCACACAATGGAAGAAGAGGCTGCAGGCTGCCAACGGGCTTTGCCAGTGAGAGCAAGGAAGGACAGAAAGACAAATGGAAGGAAAGAGGAAGGATGGAAGGGATGCTGCCAAGACACAGATGCCGGATCTCACTCAGGGCCAGCTAAAGGTGTCCCCACACACCCAATAGATCTACTTACTACCCTCCTCACTCGGGTCCCTGTCCATGGTCCAGATGCCCAGCTGAGGAAGTGCCTGTGTTCCTGAAGGCTCGGTTGCAGAATGACCACCTTCAGCAGCTCCCAGATCGCAGCCCATTGTCACCCGATCTGCATACAACAGAGGCCAGGCTGCCCTGTCCCTCAGCCCAGCCCATGGGTGCCTGAGCTCCTCCCCACAAGAGGCTCAACTTGCCAAGCTACCTGGGCCCTCGCTGCATTGTGGGGGACACACACATCCTGCCCGTTTTTCTGAGCTGGGATTCCTGCCTGTCTGACTCACTCTGGAGCACTTGACCACTGTGCAAGACACACCCAGGGAAGGCAGTGTTTTGGGGGCACACAAGACAATTTAATGACTACAGGAGAGGACCTCCCGAAGGCTCCGACAGCCCTGGACCTCTGAAATCTTGCACCAGCCTCCTTGTTGAAGGGGGCGCTGTTTCTCGTGCTCCCTCCCTTGCTGGAGCGAGATTTTCTCTCTGGCTCCTTGGTTATTACTGGACCTAACTGGGCTTAACTGGAGACAACTGGAGATTTTAGAAAAGACACAGGATAGACAGACAGAAAGTTGGGGTCAGGTGTGTTGTATGCTCAGCTGGAGATGAACAACCCTCATTGCTTCTGTTTATGTTGATTCTTTAAGGCCTTACTCCTTGCAGCTCTTTAAAACCTTGCTTAAAGCCTCTTTCCTTAGGCTCCCACTGTCCCATGCTTGCTCTTAGCTTATCTTTAGCTTAATTGGTCTTAAAGTCTTTTGCCCCCCAGCTTGCACTGTCCCATCTGTCTTTGGCTCTCTCAAAGCCTCAGTGCTGCAAACTTGCAAACAGCCTCGCCTACAACCTGCACATGCATAACTCTTAAGGGCTCGGTCCTTAGACTTGCTCTGTGCACTGTCCCATGTTCTCTTTGGCTTTTCTTTAGCTTTCGTTTTCCTAAAGCCTATGTATGAAGCTCTTTCTCAGCTGTGCTTTCTGAAGCCTATGTTAAAGTTCTCGGTGCAGACTTTCTATCCACCCCTCTTTAGCATTTTCCCTGCAGCAATTCTTTTCCCTTCAGCAATCTTTCCCTTCAACAATTCTTTTTCCTTTGCAAAAGTTCCCACACCAAAAGACCCAAAGTGAAAGCTTCTTCCCAATATTCAAAGGCAAAAAGGCCCTCAAAGCAAAAAAGCTCTTCTTCCTCCTTCAGGGGTCTCTTATAGCAGCAAACAGGGTGGAGCCATGGGGAGGGGCATGACATTGCAACAGGAGAAACCTGCTGTCCTGCTTCTCTGAACACAAACTTAAGCAACACAGCTGTTCTGCCTTTCCCCATTTTGTGGCGGAGATGCAATTAACTGCATCTCGCCTTGCTTGTGCCCAGTTCTCAGAGGCGTTGATCCACTCCCACACCTTGTGTCAGTGGAGGCTGGGATTTCAGGCGATGATTCCTCCAAAAGTACACAGCAAGCACATCCTGGTCAAAGTCCGTTCCCACCCTGCTCGTACCCAGTCTACCACTGTCCACTGTCACCACATCAGCCTGGCTGCTGTGATACATCTGTGGGTTCAAGTTAGGGGTTTTTGGTTGTTGTTTGGTTGTTTTGTGCCGGGGACTGCAGCCAGGCCTCCCGCATGTGCTACGCACTGAGTCACAGCCTGGGCCCATCTGCACATGTGTGACCGGTCTCTTCCTAAGCCTTGGCTTCGGGGCAGAAACGCCTTCAGCCCCAAGCCCTGAAAGAGCATCCTGTACCTCTGGATGAAGGCAAGGAACCCCCAGAGCCAGTTACCCTGGCGTTGTGAGGGAAGGGTGTGAGCCAGTCCTGAGGTTCTGCTGGTCCCACCCCTCCATATCTTTGACAATGACTCCTCAGTGGCAGGCCAGGGACTCCCTGTGCACTTCTAGGGTGGCACTGCTCATGGGAAAGCAGGTGCTCCAAGCCCAAAGCCCACAGGATGGGCCACAGTGCTCTTCAACAAAGACCTACTGCATTCCCCTGGGAAGCACCAGCATCGCTCACAAGTCTGCCTTAGGTGTCAGGATGGCTTCACCCACTCCAGGAAGTGCCCTGAGTCTCTCCTGTTGTCACGCTCCTTGCTTACTACCCACCCCCAAAAAATGCCAGAGAGCAGCAGCAATAATGTCCCCAACACTTCTTAAATAGCCAAACAACTCAGTGACTGCAGTTGGGTTTTTATGGTTGGAAGGAAACCTGAATTTCACCTTAAGCGTTTCACAAACCTCATCACTGCAGAGACATGAGAAAGACCAAGACCCCGAGGAAGGGATGTGGTCCTGGCAACCTCACACGCTAAGCAATGACCTTCAGCCATGTGCAATTACCCTCATGTGACAAACTAGTCATATGTGCATGCCTCTGTATGTTTTATTCTAGACGTGTGTGTGCACATGCATGTGTATTTGAGCCTAATAGACATGCATGTGCACACTAATAGATAAATAGACGAATAGATGGCCCAATGACAGAATACTTGAGCTTAGCTGAAACAATCTACCACCCTTCCATCTTCTGTACTTTTTATGTAGCAATATATGCCTGCCTAAAATCCCCTTCAGCAATTGAAAGCACCCACAGTAGGGAGTTATTCCAATGGCAAACAAGGAGGAGGATGTAGAGAGAACCAAACACTAGGAGAGTGGGAAATCTCAGGGTGCAGAAGTGCAGACAATGTGAGCAGGATCTTAGGACTCAGAGGGCACCCATCTGCGGGAGCCATGGTCCTTCTCCAGCCCTAGTTAGGTCACTGTAGTAAATAAATAACTCTTAAATGCGTGGGAGGTTTGGGTGTAGCTCAGTGGTGGAGCACTTGCCTAGCATGCACAAGGCCCTAGGCATGCCAGATTGTTGGAAATGTAGGCCCCAAAAGTGACCACGTGGAGAGGAGTGATCTGGCCAAGAGATTCTTTATTGCCAGGTGGGAGAGGGAGAGAGCAGAGAGCCAAGAGAGAGAAGCAGGAAGGGCAAGGGCTTAAATACCACTCAGTGAGACTCGGCATGATCTGGTTGGTTAGGATCTTATGGTTCATGCTGATTGGAGGTTGGGGGCAGAAGGAGGGTTCAAGCTAGACTTGAGGCAGGACCGTGACCCTGGAAAACAGAAGCTTAAGGGTGCAGTAAGAACTGAAACCTATTGGCGCCATTATTGCCAACATTCCTCCCTTTTTTGTTTGTTAAGGAAGGGGGGCGTTGTGTTCGCTCTGGCTTCTTCGAGCTGGCAAGGGGTGGCGTAGGGAAAGGAAGGGTCAGTTGGCAAACAGTGTTGGGGTGGTGACCCTCATGATAGCATACACCCAGGCTCCGAAAATGAAGATTTCCTCTTCCCTGAAGTTGATGAAGGTCCCTTGTAGCCATAGGTCGTAGAGTCTCAAGCCAGTCCTCCAACCTCTGCATGGTGGGTATCAGCCATCTATCCTCATATTTTGGAGAGCTTGGTGTCCCTGGAGGTACAACTGGTTAAACTTTTGATCAGCAATAGCAGACATGCAGTATGACACAGGGAGGAAGCTTAAGAATAGGAGAGCAAGAACACAGGCATCAGGATGGGCACTGGCCAGGAGAACCACTGTGAAATGTTGTTCCCTAGACAATTTCAAGAGTCCTCCAATTCCCTTCTCCATTTTCTAATTGTTTCTTGAGAGGTGCCACCATTGGGGGACCCATTGAGCTTGACAATAGTGGGTGTCATGAGAATGACCAGATGAGGGCTGGTCCATCGAAGTCCCAATGGAGAGGGTAGAAGATCCTTTTGGAGAACAAGATGCCCTGGTTTAACAGAAATTGTTATAGGGTGGGACAGGATCTGGTTTGCATGCTCTCTGAGAAGTTCCCTGAGAAGGCAGGTAGTCAGCCAGAGGAGCAGAGTCTGTTGGAGTCAAGTTTTCTAAGAGAAATGGGTGGCCATACATTATCTAAGACCCAAATAGGAATATTAGGAGGAGCATAAAAAGGTGTCTGTTCAGGGACTACATACCTAGGGATCTAAATTCTGCAAAATCCTATAACTGCCAGGAAAGCTGTAAGCTGTCTTATGGTATGGGGGTTGGGAAACAGAAGATTGGGTTGATGCATTTATGACTCAAGGAGTGAGTCTGTCCCCTTAAGGCCACACCTAGGTAGGTGACCTGTGGGAGGCAGGGGCTGTCAGGATTTAAATGTAACACTCTTGGATAAAAGAGAGCTTTAGCTCATTATTTTATATAAATTGACACTTTTAACCTTTTAAATGTTTGTACCATATTTAAAGTATAACATAACACTGTTACAAGGTGATCATTTAAAACACATAAGCAAATATGTAAATGAACTCTGATTTAGTAGTACTTAAAGCTTGACAAGATCAGCAGAAAACACAAATAATTTCTTTGATAAAATCTTTCTCTGTAACTTTGTAGACGTTACTCAGAGCAGAACAATATTAAGATAACCTTGTTATTTCATAGACAGAGGGTTTGATTTAGTTTGACACGACCCTAAAAATCTTTTAGGCAACTCTTAGATTACATTCAACTTTAACTTTATCACACATCTTTTGAAGTTTTTTATTATGCACTTTTAAAACTTACTTAGACCTTTATACAACATACTAAACCCTTTGATGGCTTGTCCTAATCCTTCCTATTTGAAACAGTCTTTAGGACAAATCCTTCTTTACAAAATCCCTTCTCATCCAAAACATCATTCCTTTTTCCTTTAACTTCTCAAAAAATACACTTATTACCTATCTATATCCTTTCCAGTTGTTTACTTTGTAACTTGTATTTTTAAATGAACTTTTATAAGAATTTTAAATTTATTGTAGGGGCTGGAGCAACTAATTAGTAGCCCTTGTTGTTTTAAGGAATTTATGATAGGCATTAAGTCTTCATCTTCCCTCAGGCTTGAGGGGATATTGTTTTAGGTGTGGAAACTGTGAGGGATTTTTGAGTTTTTTTTGAATAGGGAGGGCCATCCTGGCTCACCCTACAGTCATCCTATCAGTCCACACTGTGGAATCTCTTTGTTCC